TGATTTAAAATTAAAGATATGATCCGCCAGTTCGAACATAGATCTGTATTTTGCAGTAAATTATGAGCTTCTTCCAGGACATATCCATACAGACTGGAGTATTATCAAATTGTTTGTTCATCCTAAAATAAGCGACAGGGCTGAACTGATGTTGTCATGCATGAATGATGCATATGATGGTACCCCTTAACATTTCAGATTATGGTTCTGATGTGATTCTCCGTATTTTTAAAGCTGGTCTTTTTGTATTTTACAAACCAATAGACATATTATAATGACTATATGAACTGTTTGACAATAAATTTGTGTACTGTTAAATAATCTTAGATGTAGAAACCCAATGTCCGTTACCTACGCTATTCGTATAATTTTCTCCATAAAAATACTTTTTTTTGTTATTTTTTATTTTTTCAATTTCACCTCAGAGATGATCTATATATACAAACCCATCATTCAATAATACAATATTATTCCAGATTCATGAATAGTTATACATGCTATGCCTTTTCCACATTTAGTTTAACATAAACAAATAAGTAAAACTAAATTGAATTGTTTCATATGTTTCATGTCGGGGCCTTTTGTAACCGACTACTTTATATTATTGTAACCGACTACTTTATATTATAGTATACGGTATGGGTTTTTCTCATTGTTGAAGGCCGTACGGTTGCCTATAATTGCTTACATCTTCTTCATTTGAACTTTGTTGGATAGTTATCTCATTGGCAATCGTACCATATCGCATTATTTTTTATATATTTAGTATAATTTTCTGGTATTTGGTTTTCTGAGTTTTCTTTGAAGATGACTACATATATGTTCTTTTTTTTCGCCTGTATTTTTGAGCAATTGATATTGTCGATGAATTCTCGTGTAATTAATTTCGCGGTATTTCCGAAAATATCAAAATACAGATAACGGACTTAAAATATATAAATGTTCATTATGTATGTATATATGTGATCTAGAAAAATACAAATGGGTAGCCATTATATTTATAATATGTTCGCTTATTTATTTATAACCTTTCTTACATCCGTTGTTACGTTGGCACGCATTCATCTGAAAGTTATAGAAAATGCAATTCGTCTTGCCACAGTCGAGTTCGGTATACGCATGGTTGTCCATGTATGTGCGTTGTTTTTGTAAGTAATGTCTTACAACATAAAATTGTTGACTTTTAGAAATATTACAATTGAAAATATGTTTTATTGGAAATTTAAATACGTTATATTCAATAGTCAAATGATGATTAAAGTGCATATGATATAAAATACAGAAATGGTAGTTTGAACTTTGCTATAATTAAAATACATTGATTTTTTTCTTTCAGAAAGTCATTTTGCAACTCAAGCTGTTGCTTTTGGACCTATAGTTATTTTCCTCCCTGTGCTGTATGTCTTCACCGTTATAATTGGGTTATTATTATATGGTCTAAATCTGCGTATCGTCATTTTAGCCTAGTAATAGCTGGTGCCTGTGCATTTACCATAAACCCTTCCTTTAGAGGTGTTGTTTACATGGAATACATCAACACTTTTAAATTTCTGTTTGCACTCTGCCCGTTATTATGCTTACCTATAATAACATTAAAAGTGCAAACATGACACTTTTAGTGGTCCTGTTCTAAAATTTAGCCCTAGTAATTGAATTAAATAGATATACACACAAATATACTTTATGGAAGGGGATTATTGCAATAATTCTTTACAAGCTTATTATGTTTTAGTTTCCTTATTCTTTATATCTACATTATTACTTTCTCCCAAATCACACTTTGCTTTCTTCCTAATTATATTCCAACATGTATTTATCTTAGCAAGTTCCCCCATCGTGTATTTGTTTATTTCTTTATCGTTTTCGAGAAATCGTTTAATAATTTTTTACTCATATGAGCAAACTAAGAACTGTCACTTTTTGGGCAATTCATACAACAATTCGTTATTAGAATGACTCCATCCGAATAAAACTAAATGCGAATTTCACTGGCTAAAATAGACATGTCTTTTGATCTTTCTGTGCCTCATTGACGTATATTCAAGGAAACACAAGTCTATTTTTTTGAAAATGTCACCATTTATGTTTGAAATGCTATAACTTTGTCCAAGGCTAAGATATACAAACACATGAGGACCTTAAAGAACGAAGAATAAATGCGCTTCTGTGTTTAAACAATCTCTTATGCTCATATTACAAAAAGGGAAATGTTAAAAAGATGCCATATTGGGAGGGGTTATTTTTTGTAACTTCTTTGTCAAAATTAGCATTTTCAGCTCTTAAGTTTTGAAGCAGTCAATATCTTCATTCTAACGACCTTAGAAATCACAAATATTCATCATATATGAACATACATTTAGTATCTGTTTAGCTGACAGCGTTAATTTTAGAACAAGAATGGTATACAAAACAATCAATTTTCCTCCAAATTTTGTCATTTAGAAACAAGCAAGTAATGGTGGATTGACCAATTCTTTTCGAAGTGCTTTCTGGTCGACTATCTCCCCTTTGATATGGTTCTTCATTTGTCTCAATATCTTTTACAATGACAAAGTTATTGACACTAGTATTTTTCTGTGTGTAGTTATAGTCAGAGGATTCTTAATTCATGACAGGGTTTTTCTGCATGTGTGTAGTTATAGTCAGAGGATTCTTAATTCATGGCAGGGTTTTTCTGTGTGTAGTTATAGTCATGTCTTAATTCATGACAGGGTTTTTCTGTGTGTAGATATATTCAGAGGATGGTAATTACTCAGTTTCGGATTGTATTTATCTGGCAAAAGTGAAATTCCTTTCACGATGTGGTTAAAAATCAGATTTCGTTTTTGTTTGTCTTTGGTTGTCTTTCTGCTTCTTTTTTTTCATGGAGTTAGTGGCTGTTGACGTCTGTTGTACTTTCTAATATTTTGGTTTTCCTGTTGTCCTTTTTGTGTAGTGGTATTTATTATTATTTTATCTACTTTTGTTGGTTTTTATTTTGTTTTTTTGGTGGAACAAAAGTTATTGCCATTACTTTATTTTTGTAATGCTGTAGTCCAATAACCTTTTCAACATTTTCTCCGACACCATCAGTGAGCCAATTAATCTGTGAAGGCACAAAGTTAGTTATTTACTAGAGGGCCTTTTCCTTCTGAATTTTTTTATCTATAATTTTTTAATTATTTTGTCTTTTCTTGTTTTTATTTTTTACTTTTTTTTTCTGTTTGGTTTGTTTGGTTTGTTTTTTTTTTTTTGGGGGGGGGGGGGGTTGAGAGTCGGTAAACTCATTGTCTATATCTAAGTCTAGATTCAGACTTTTAGCGCGCTTCCGAATCCACCTCTTCCTGGCCGTAGCATTTGCTTTTTTATGAACAGAAAGAAAACATTTCCCAAAATAAAGGATACAAGTATATATATATTAACCTATTCCAAAAATAATGGATAAAATATACAATATCCCATTAATAAAAAGAACAATTATCGCAGATCCTTTAAAGCACGTAAATATAACGCGTTATTTGCTCAATTTATATATTTACAGTTGTATTTTTTATCTTGGAACGCTGAAATTTTAATTGTTTTTATGTTTTTCACATATAGATCCAGAAAACTCCATAATGATGGATTCATTTTTTTCACCTAAATAAAAATTTCAAAATGTAAAATTTAGATAAAATAAATACCTAATTTGGTTGATTATTGAAATGCAACGAGGTTAAACGGAGAGTTAACTGAAACCTTTGCTTTTTAAACATGGGACAACTTTTGTTACAAAGTCGTGTATGTAAATTTGACAAGGTAGGTTGGGAGCAATATTTTTAATACACCACATTCTCCGCCATCTGTCGTCATAATAAGACGCTAAAAATGCTTTTTTTTTAATTATTTTTAGCCTTTCACTTATTTTTAAATTACGAATTGTAATTCACATGTTAAAAACTCATTTGTAATGTGAAGTGAAAAATATATAAAGATGTTAATTGAAATCGTATACAGATGAAAGAAAGAAGAAGGTAAAATTCTGATCTGAGAGAAAAAATGGTGTAGAGATAAATAGAATAAAGACCCTGAATTTAGCATGCATAGATTTAAAGCGGTAGTTCCTTCCCATTAAATGTATACATTATACTGACTCTCGTGTAATTAAAAAAAAGTAATTTTAATAATCGGAAATATTTTATTGTTTTCTTTTTATAAAAAATGAAATTAAAATTTAGATAACCATTACTATACCTATTTTATAAATAATAATTAAACCAATAATATTAAAAATTATTATAATAAAACTGCTAGTGCTCTTGTTATTTTTTGTCATATATATATTTAGTTTAAATTTGAAGCCAAATTTTGCTTGTAATTATTATTATTATTATGATTATTATTATTATTATTATTATTATTATTATTTATTGGCTAACGTTCCGGATTAAAAGATTGTCTTATTATCACAGATAATTTATATGAATAAAAGGACATGTGGTGTAAAGGTCACTGAATAAGCAACCCAACAACTATTTGAATTTTACAACTTTTCGCAAAGAAAATTTAAAATAAATCATAGAGCATAGTTAATAAAATACAGACGCTCAAATATTTAAGCTTATCTTATATCCTTCAGATGTAAAATCTTAATTAATTTTCAAGTCTGCAAGTAAGACTTTATAAAATAGAAATAAAGCAGCAACTTGTCTAACACTAGAGCCTATCAGCCTAATATTGGCGAGAGGTATCGACCATTTTTTTTTTAGAATTTAAAGAAATAATTTTCTGAAAAGATAGCAAAGTTTCAGACTGATCCTGACATTTTCCATTCAAAACTCCAGAAAAAAATACAATCCCCTACTGACACAATTTTATCGTTGGAAAATTTCCTTTCATTGAGGAAATACAACCACTGAATAGTACTGTAGTTTTGTTGGTTTACAATAGAAACCATATTTTAAATGTATATGACTAGTATATATATTACGCAAACGAAACAACGTTATATATGTTAGATACTATAACACAAATAATAGCACTGAAATAGAATATTTTAATACTCAGTTAAAACTGTCACAGTAAACATTATGGGCCGATGACGGCGCCAGCATTTAGTGGGTCACTTCACACTTCCGGTAAAAATTTGAAATGTTGAAATATGTCCCATTCTCACCGAACCATCGGTCAATATTTACAACTGTATTTACAATGTTTATAAAATCCTTTATAATTTATGGCGGTAAGATAAATTTGTTTTAAGAGAGACAGGTTCGTTATATTGTTTTATGACTGTGGTTTTATTGCAGATGACGGCACTCAAAAACTTCCAGATCTAGGTCCCATACTGTATGCACTATGTATGATTATGGATTTTATGTCTGAACTTACTCTGATCATGTCTTTTTCAGAACAATAAATGCAAATTAAATGTAATTTTGGTATTTTATTACCATGTTCTGCCATTTAACATATATGGTGATGACGTCATGCTGTTTCCATTTATGGAAGATGGATAATGAATTCCCTGACTAAGTCCACTATGGCTACTAGAATAAGAGTTTGTAACACAGTGCGTAGGCATCGTCCCAGAGCCTAAAGAGTTCGGTTGAGACAGTATTTTAGAATTTGGAACCTGTGGGGAAACGTGTGATCCCGAGGATCCAGCGTGACCAGCACTCATTCTTGTTTGAGAATTGTGTTGCACGTGTGTAGTTTGCGTATCTCCAGAATTTGAACATGGCTTCCCATCTTTTACTAGCACAGGTACAGCCACTCGCCTCGGAGAATGTTGGCTTTGACTAGGTGATGAATGTTCAGAGGGTGCAGAATCTTCCTGAGAACTTTCTGGAGAACCGGGTTCACTTTTAATTTTGTCTTTTGATGCTCTTTTGTACTTATAACGATGATTCTGGAACCATATCTTCACTTGTGTTGGCGTTAGATTTATCATACTAGCTAGATGTTCCCTTTCAGGTGCGGACAGGTATTTTTGCTGTTTAAAACGCCTTTCTAGTTCATATACCTGCGCTTGCGAAAAAAGAACTCGACGCTTCCTCCTCTGTGTAATGGGAAACTGCATTCCAGCTTTTGTATGATCATATCCGCCTAAAGCTGACATATTCATATGATTCATACCTGAAGACATTGGTGACATAGCACATGAACTTGGTCCACCCATTAGTCTCGAAACTAGAAAATACAAACGCAAAAAGTTTAAGAAGAAAACAAAACTAACAAAAAATATTTGTTTATTTAGCTACATATCCATTATCATGGTGTCAAGATTAAGGAGATTCGGTTATATTTTTTCCTTGAAAATTATTAAATTTAAATGTGCTGCAGCGTCCGGTAGAATACGTTATATCTTTAGAGGACAAAGCAGTATTCTTCAAGGATATTTGTTTAGTAGTCAAACATGATAACCTCATGTATTTGGGACAACTTGAAATATGACACTAGATAAATCTATTTTAGAAATAGAAAAAAATGTTCCTCAATAAATGTTTTCAAACTGTAAAACACATATATATTCCACAAGTGAATAAAAGGTAACCATGCTAGTTAAATCATTTTAACCTTCATGAATATTAGTCGAATAATTTTAATTACATTTTTATTTTGTTAATTGTCCTTTAAAAAAGTGTCAAATATATCAATAAATTTCATAGTATATTTTTATTTACAAATTGTACAAGGACATCTGTAATTTCATCTTAAACAGCATTCTGGCACGTTTTTTTATGAAGACAAAATATTGTCAATTAGAGTCTTCACTGATTCGACAAAACACTTTTGTCTGTAATCCGATTAATTAATCGAAATGAACCCATGAGAATTTAAATTGATGTTCAAACCGACAATAAATAGAGCAACTGATTCAGCAACTACTAATTAGGTATTGCATTCCACTAACGGTTTAAATACTGTTATATTCCCCTGTTATTATCGCCTTAATAGGTAGCAATTTTGTTCGTTAGTTCAACAATAGAACCATCAATTACATTATAAACTGTGTCAATAAATAACCCTGATAATTCTCTACCTCACAGCCACGAATATAATCTAATAAAACTCGTCATACAAATACTGTCAGGAAATTTGTCACACTTATTTAATCATACAATATCTATTGATTATAATGAAATATCATATTTTTACAAATAATTATTTTAAAAGGTTATAGTGTGCACTATTTATCATGCTTCCAAATTTACAGAAAGTTAGTTATCATATCATTTGTTAAACGTAACTTTAAATCTTGCAATGTTGAGATTTGGTTAGTTTTAAACGTTGTTAATTTGTTAATATCTGAGACAATATAGATATATTTTATAGTAATGTCAGGCAATATGCAAATTGTACAAGGTTCTTATTTCTAATTATTTTTTTCTTTTTCTTCATTACTAGTCTCGTTTATTTTTAGCAAACAAAATATATCAAAAATGTCAACAAACTAGATAGTGTCGATTTTTTTTGGAATGAAGTCGGGTATAAATTTTATAGGTGTGCGAAAGTCAGTCAGTTTTTGAAGATTGATCATTACAATTATGAGAGAAAAATATTTGTGTTACATCCAATACGTGTTTAAAAGTCCGTGTTGATACATTGCTGCCCCTGGTGAACATTTCTCTGTTTAATCTGCTTTTTATTTAAACTCCATGGCATAAATTCTTACTTTGGACAATGTGTTTTATCATTAACAGTTTTTTTTTAAATTCATTTGTACCACTTTCTCAGTGAGTTTTCGGAAAACGAACATTGGAATATATAATATTTCAGACAATTTCAGACACAGTCGTATAAAATATAATAATGACTGTTTTCACGAAAGCATCAGCATATCATAATGCTTATCTATTGGTCCCCAGTAATATAAGATGTTCACTATTTTTAACCACAATGCGGAAATTTGTGCTTTCAAAAATATACGAATTCGGTATTTCACAGTAAATTGTTCATAATAAATGATGGAATACACATTAAGATAGAGGGAATATCATTTAAAAACATTTTTGTTTCTTGCACATTTTATAACTTTAATCACTGTATCTATTGCATTAAAAAGCCGTCAATAATCAGAGGACTAATATGGTCACAAACTATTGAGAAACAATCATTAAAATAATAAAATGTTTCAAGAATTTTTAATGAATTTTTAACAATTGTGTGTGTGTTTTTTTTTATTACAAAAATCATTGCATGCATCTACAGACAACTCAAGCAAAAAGCAGAAAATTATTTTTGACAATTTACCAAATGAATTTATGGTTAACTCGTATATTTTCTAGTACTGTTTTAAGTGCCTTGTTTTAAGAATTAGTCTCAATAGGGAAAGTTTATTTGAAATATAATTCCATGGTTTCAAGTTCTTCTCCTTTCACGGTGAAAATACTCAAAGAAGATATTAATAGTCTCCAATATATTAGTTTTTCAAAATTTGATTTTATTCATCATATTACCGATTCATTTAACAAAGTATTATAAAGAGCAGAGAATTATATAACTCTTTTTTTAAATATCAGAAAACAAGATCATGCGCGTTTCTTACAATAACTGAATCCTACAGATCCGATTACGACTGTCAAAGTAGTTGTTGTTACTTCAAATTATAATCTTGTCAAAACAGTCCATTTATATCAATTTCATGTACATTTTTCTTTCATTTTAACTGTGAATGAACTGTGCTTTGTGACTGTTTAAGTCAATGTAGTTTATTTAGATTTCCTCTGAATGTAAATGAGGTGTATATGCTCGAATAATATTATTGTTACTAAATTAACTAACTGGAAGAAATGAAAGTCGGTGGTTTCCTTACTTAGAATAGTTCAAACTTTTAATAAGTTATAGACTACGTATTTGTATATGTTGTGAAGCAATATTTCAAAATCTCCAAATGAAAACAATATTGTTTTAATTTTCATATTTAAAAAAATAAATCTACACTAAAAAATAAAATAAAGTTAAAATTTTCATCCTTGATTTTTCATTTATACCTTTTTGAAAGATTCATGCTGCAATTAGCTGACCCCGGTTTAAGATGAATACACAAGTCAATCTTTTTCCATTTATCATTTCAACAAGAGTGTAAATAAAACTTGAAAACATTTCTTAAAACCGATTAAGTATCTAATGAATTATCAGTAAAAATAAAAACATTTGATAAGTTTTGTCGCAATCTTATCATAAGGAACAAACTTTGTCTGTTTTTAATATGAAATCATATTTGAACTATATTTATAAATAGTATTTTGCGACCAAAAATTGTTATAGAATGATTAAAAGCACTTAAAAAAATCGAAAATCAATTTTGTCAAAGCCGATTGATTTTGAAGATTCTTCAGACCATAATGGTTTAATTTTGTATCCTTTCCAACATTCGAAAGTTATCCAGGATGATACAATATTTTGAATCATCATATTGAGAATCTTAGTTCCACTTCACTTGTCCAAGAGTGTTCTTAAATGCATTTTAAGTACTCAACAAGACTTTCACTGAAGAAAAAGAAAAGCTCTTGATATAAAAACTTACTTGCAATACGATCAGGATTACTGCTGTACCAGTTGGGAGTACCTCTTGGGTCCCCATAGTGTCCGAAGTCTGTCCCATTACAATATTGTGATGCAAAGGACGGAGTGTGATGAGATAGCGGCGGAACATATCCAGTATGGTAAGGATTCGACACAGGAACACTCATGCTTGCCATCTGTGATGAAGAATGTTGTGAATGGTGGTTCCTATATGGAGCCAAGGGTGGTATTGCAGCCTCAATGGTGGTTCTTCTGTAGGTATCTTCAATTGGAGACAATATATCGGTTACTGAAAACGGTGTGGTGTGTTTTGGACTGAGGGACATCACCGTTCGAATTCAGAGTGATTCCTTTGCGTCAGCTTGATGTTTTTAGGTCCTTCAGATATACTTTGTTACGTGAAGGGCCAATCTCGACGGTCAAAAGCATCATCTACAATGCGGACCCTTCAATCTTGACAAATTATGACTGAAAAAGTTAGAACGCATGCGTATACAACATACTGTTATTGACAAAAAGTGTTTAAAGCCCGCCTCTTTATTGATAGGGGTGGTCTACGTTAACATGTTGTCACGTGATCTCTACCTGAGAAAGCAGAGTCTGAATTTCAGATTAAATTTCAATTAGTACATTTTTTCACTGTTTTTATCGTTTATCGCTAATTTTGGGTACCTTAACATAAAATTTATAACATTTTCAAACCTTAAATTCTTTGCTGGATATCATAATAAAAATGTGAATTAATAATTTATAACAGGAATAACGCTTAATCTTTTTGGAATTAAGATAATCCGTTGTTCTTTGATTAACAAGATTTGGAGGCGTGGCAGATTTTTGTCAAGTAGCATTTTGACACAGGTAAATCTACACCTTAGATAGAATAAGAGAGAGAAAAGCATTTGTTAAGTGGTAAACAAGTACCAATCTTATTTTATTTTCATTTAATAAAGTTAAAACATTCTTATTTAAATCAATGATGACAATGCTATTCTTGTCAAAGTATTTTTTATATCCAATTAAAAATTAAGGAAATCTTTTGAAAGTGGACCTTTTGTTATGTGTGGTAAGACTACAGTTCTTTCAATACTATTTAAACTGGAAAAAGGTATTTAGTTTTGATGCTTTTCTGTAATAATTTTCAGAGAAAATAATAGTGTTTATACTAAAACGATGATTTTTCAAAAGTTGTAATTTTTATTCCATCTGAATCAACGCCTGATTGAAAGACCATCTATAATCTAGCCCGAACCATTTGCAATCTTGTTTTCAAAGTAAGATTATTTCAAATAGGATTTATTTTTCTGTTAAAACACGTGTAAAAGTTTTCATTTCTAAATAAAGATTTAACACATATCATAATACCTTTATCACATTAACGAAGTATATTTCAATAGAAAACGGTATGATCCGAGAAAATAAACAAGCTAATCATTGGTCTATTCTTAAAAGCGAGAAAATAACACTGCGACAATTAAAAGCTTTTAATGGTGTCAAAACTGACAATTCGTACATAAGAAGTATATCTTAATAGTTATTGATCACGTACTAATCTCTTCCCTGTCAGCCTTTTATCTAGTCATGATATTAGAATCTTAGCAAAAGGTAGAATTAAATATATTTCTTTTTTTATTCATACACACAGTTACCACAATATCACAGTCCTCTTTCCTTTTTCATATAATCTACTCCGTTTCTGAAATAGTCCGTTTCCCCCCTTTCTTCCTTAAATACATTTTCAGTTTCTTAGATGATTGCATTTACAAATGATACTTTTTAACTGACTTTTTGGTTGGAATTTTCATTAAAAACCTTCATTAAAATGCTCTGATTGCAATGAAAAATCTAATTCTTGTTACATCTATAAATTATCTGTTTATCTTATTACTTTAACATATATATTAAAAACAGCAAAATGACAGTAATTATCTGGATAACAAGATTTGTATTTTCGTTATTAGTAGATCATATGTAGAATTAACAAAGCAAAACATATTTCCCAAAACCCTATAAAAGGTGCTTTTTGCTAATTATAAACAAAGCTGGTTACTCATATTAAGTTAAATCATATTCACTTATATGAACCACAATTGTCGAACATTTGCTTCTTAAAAGTCTCATGATGTTAATATTCAAGAAAAAATATGACTTTATAGATATTCAGCCAAAGTTCAAAATCAATTTTAAAATTGCTTTGAAATTTCAGAATATTTACAACAGTATGCAGTTAAGTGTCAATTGGCTTTACCACCAAGAAGTATCTGCTCTATTTCATGAATTATATGCCAATTTGGTTTTTTGCTTTTCAGTGGCAATAAGTATGACATATCTGTCTTGTATTATTAAATTTATTTGCTGGTCCGTTTAATGCGATGCTTTCGATGTGTCAAGTTTGAGATTTGCCCTGCTCTCAATTGAAGATCTCGAAAATTATTTTTTACAAAAGTTTCCAAATAAAGATTATACTCTTGTGTAGTATTCCTCAAGAACAATATTCGGGTAACTTTTTTTAAATTCTTCGGTCTCATTGTAAAGTTAAAATCTGTTGATCTGGAGAAAACATAATATACGAATACGAGTAAATTATCCGATTGTTTTTATTGATGGTAAATGGTTATATTTCAAAACATAGGCATCTTAATAAAATTGATTGATTGAATTGTGTTTGCTTAACGTGCTAAAAAGGTTAAATGAATAATATCTTAGCCACAACAAAGAATATGCTTAACTAGACAATATATACAGCCATATATAATAAGCCGGAGCTAACTCACTAGTTTAAAATTATTTTTATTTAAAATTATGAAGCCAAATTTTTTCCATATTATTATTCTTAATAATTTTTTAATAAATATTATTCAGGTATTGACTTCTTTAGTGTCAGAAACCAGTATTAAAATCATCTTGTAGGTTAAACGTATGCCTATGGTTTTTTTTTCATTTCTGACGGAGAAAAAAAAACAAGTTCTTTCTCTCTTAATTTAGGTAAAAGGTTATTTTTCATGAGACTCTTAATACTTAGGAAAAAAATTTAAGAGTGGACTAAAGAAATCGTTGCATTTCAGCATGGTCAGAGCTTGGTTTGTTTTCCTATAAAATGACTTAATTTTTTTTTAATTTCATTGACATGGTTACAAAATCAAACCGAACAGAAAAAAAGACACACAAACAAGTAAGATTATTGGAGTAAACTAGATGCCAAAATGTGTATGAAAAGTAAATACAGAAATATGAGGATAAACAAAATTAATTAAGGTATCTTCAAAGACATTAATTTGCATTCCGAGGCAGCAAGGTTACCAATGTAAACTGTGTGATAATTTGTGTATTGTCGTAGGAAATAGGAGCTGATCTTTGTATTTACATAATTCTTTTACTTGGAGTAAATTGAAATATAAACCGGACATATTACCTAATTATATTCACTTCATTTTAAGTTGCTTCTATTGAATTGATACCGGAGTTGGATCCGCCGTCACGAAGGCGTTTTGTTAACGGACTACTGTGTAAACTGTGAATTATTGGCATAGTACAGCATTAGTACAAATCTTGTTTGAGTAAGTTATTCAAGTAAATGGTGGGGTGGGCTAGTCCTCAGTACAAATCAGAACCTCTACAAACAAGAAGAAATTCTAAAACTTACGGCAAATATTGCCTTTGTTTCGTTTTGTTATTTTTGTCCGTTTCTTGTTAATCTGTTTGTTCACCTTCTGTGACACTTTGGTCAGTTTTGTAAACATTACGGACAGGTATTTAATTTCCTACCAAGGTATTCTTTAGCCACATACTGAATTCAGAATTTTATTGATATAGATTTACAACTACCTTGAAAATACGAAGTTGTCAAAAGTAAATCATTCTTTTGAATTTCCAATATTTATCCGTGTTACAATATTCCGTTATAAAATAACCCGTTCATTTTCCCGCCTATATTTACTTACCATAATGACACTAATAAGGGATGAAATACCTACCTTTTAACAATTAAACCTGGTAAAACTTTATGGTCATATAAATAGAGTATATAAACATTTACTTTGATTGTGTATTTCCTTAATAAGTTGGCCAATGTTCGATTATTTACCAGCACTTTAAAGATCAACAGCAGATAAAATGTAGTTCTGAAGGCAATATTAACTCAAAACTAATAGTGAAAAAGTATAACAGTAAACAGTAAACAGTATAACAGTAAAGATAAAATAATGTAAAGCAATACATCTCTAATTTTCATAACACTTTACATCTCTGGGTGAGAGTAGTATACTTATTTGAGTTATTGTTGAGTTGCTGTCTCATTTACGTGTAATTAATATTCCATATAGAGCAACAAAGGGCTTTATATCAAACTTAGAAATGACCAACAAATTGTTATACAATAACTAACTTGTACATTTTTTCTTAGGGAAATCTATTTATCTGTTGTATTTAAAACAACTACCTCAAACACTGCATTCTTTCAAGGATAAATATCTAGTGGTCCCCGATTGTGCTTGTGTTAGACAAGTTTAAAAATATTTACTATAATGTAGGACTAGTATGTTTTATAAAGAACAGTGACGTATTATTTCAAATGAACTGGTCTTTTTTTCTCCTTCATGTTGTAACATCTCGCCTTTAATCTGGAAACTAGAATTCTCTTTTTTCTTCTTCGAAATAACATGTTTGGTCTGTTCTATAGTGTAACCACCCACCACGTGCATTGCACAAAAAGAGTATAAACAAATCCTGATTGTAGCACGATAAACAAAATTTTTTTTAACATTGCATCGCAGATATTGTGTGGTTATTTCATGCATATATATTCTGCCCTGTTTAAACTCGTGTTCCTTTCGGAAGCTTTCTTGAATAATAACTTACCGTTACTTTCATTTTTGCCAAAATATTTTTAACGTTTCTTTTTATGAATAGAACCAAATTTTTCTACATTTTATTAAAATTTTATGTGATACTTTTATGACATTATGACTGACACAAATTTGAGCGTTCATGGTTGATTTTATGACAGTCTGTAAGTTTGACATCCTGTTTAAACTTCCTAGTGTTTACAAACGTGTATTTATTGGTAGAATATAACGGTAGCACACACCTGTTTGTAACTTTATTGTGGGGGTCCGGGAAATTTGTATTGACTTTTCTATGATATTCTATGTTTATGATACTTTCACACAAACGACACCATGGCCTGTTAATCCCCCCCCCCCCCCCCCCCACATCATGATTTAAATAAACTTTGATATATCTTTACTAGACGTCTTTTACTAAAACATATATTTACTTTTTTTTAAAAAGGAAACATATCAACTCAAAGAGTTAGCCACTCAGAGCATTTAATATTTCGATTTTTTACTTAAATTGAGCAATATATATATATTCTACCACTACGTGGCACGCTAACTACATCGAGTGTGATACCTTGTGACGATATTT